TATATATATATATATATATATATATATATATATATATATACACACAGTGGAATACTAACCGGCCATAAAAAAGACGAAATCATCCCATTTACAACAATGTGGATGGACCTTGAGGGTATAATATTAAGCCAAATAAGCCAGAGAAAGATAAACACCATATGATTTCACTTATTTGCAGAAGATAAACTAACATACAGACAAAGAGAACAGTTTAGTGGTTAACAGAGGGGAAGGGGGTTGGGCGGTAGGCATAAGGGGTGAAGGGACATATTTATATGGTGACCGACAAATAATAATGGACAACTGAAGTTTCACAATGTTATAAACGATTACGACCTCAATAAAAATAAATAAATAAACTTGAAATAATTCTAGATTAACCAAAAAAACTGTAAAAATAACACAGAGAGTTCTCATATTGCCTTCACCCAGCGTCCTCAAATGCTACCATCTTACATAATCAGAGTACAATTATCGAACCCAGAGAATTAACACTGATGCAATACTGTGAACTACTCTACTGACCTTATTCAAATTTCCTCAATGGCCTCATTTTTCTGGGTCATGATTCAATCCAAGATCCTGCATAGAAGCAACATTCCAAAATCCAAGATGCCCCCTTCCCAATAAATCCAATCACGCACAATCTACTGAAAGCTCCTGATCCCCCAGAAAGGTCAGTCTCCTTTCATGCTAATGAGGTAGGGCCATCATTGACCACCGAGTCTTCAGGCTAGACATGTTCTTTTCCTCTACAATTCTCTCCATAACTACTCTGTCAGTCTTGTCAATCTTATCTTGTAAACACAGGTCAAATAGTTTCACAATCCCTTGGTCCAGATGTTTTGCTGAATGCGAACTTTTCCCACATGAGAAAAGTTACACAGCACACAGGCCATATATTACATTAAAACAAAAAACAGCCAGATCCAGGGCAACTTCCCTAATCAAACACATTTAATACTTCTGCAGCAAATACGTGTATTTTATGAACAACGAGTGGGAGTCAGATGCTGCCACCCACCACTGAGTTCAGGTCCAGCCCAGGATTTACCGTCAAATGAACTACAAAGAAATTATCTTTTGGTTTGCAGAACTCTCTTTTGCTACTGTAACTGCAGACCAGAATCCTGCAGTTGAAACCTGACCTAGGAACCCCATGGAGGCATCTATCTCCCACCTGCCTTCGCCTCATCCTCTTTCACTCAGTGTCCTGGCGAAGTCAGCTGCAACGTCCCCTTGACCTCCAGGCTTTCTTCACTCCAACTCACCCTCCATTAGAGCCCCAGGAGTGATCTTTCTAAAACACCTGCAACTCCCTAGCTTCAAATGCTTAAAGATTTCTCATGCAAGGAAGAAGGCTAGGGCCTAATCTTCATGAGGTTTCCACAGCTTTCCACCATCTGAGCCAATTGCCCTGACTGTAGAGACCATCTATACAGCATAACACACAAGAAGAACACAAAAATGAAAAAGGTATAGTCTCTATCATCAAGATTCTCACAGTCTAATTCAATCCCTTTAATATTTTCATCAAAGTAATTACTGTTTAGAATACATCTTCTCCAATAATCAAAGAGTGTGGCGGGATTTTTTAACTCATTTTTTTCCAGCTAGGAAATTCTACCTTAGTTCTTGATCACATTAAAGATGACTAACAAAATCCCACACATTGACATGAAAAGGATTTTTCAAGTGATTTTGACAACACACGTCTGAAAATACAGCTACGCTATTGTTGATATGGTTAAAAAAATTACAAGAAGCAAAAGCCAGGAAAAGTTTTCTAAAAACAAGCAAACCTAAAAAAGCAACATGAAGGATGGTATTTAACGGGCTGAGTGGTTTCTCATGAGACTGTTTTTCCAAAGCACAAAGACATAAATAAATCTGAAATCATGCCTTTGTTTCCATATTAGTATATTAATGGAACTGAATGACATTATAATCAACAAAATCAAGTCAGAGAGTTAAGCCAAAATCCCCACCATCGAATTGCTGAGTTTCTCCCCAGCCACGCAGAGGCTGCTCTCAGATGCAGGCTTCGCCAATGAAAGAGGAAAGAAACCATATTTTAAGTATTATTAGTTTTCTGTTCTAATGTGCAAAAAGTCAAAGGCGGCTACTTGGAATGATGAAAAATGAAAAATTCCTAGAGGTTGTATTTCGGGATTACATTATAACCTCTCCTATCTCAGGAAAACCACACATAAGCAGTGAGAGTAAGAGGTTAGGAAGAAACCTGCTAAATCCCTTACTGAGCAGGGAGAGAGGGGTCAGAGGGTTCTGAGCAGAAAACCTGAGGTTCCCTTCCAGGGCGGCCCTGCACTCACAACAGAGTGTGTGTGTGTGTGTGTGTGTGTGTGTGTGTGTGCGCGCGCGCGTGGGCGCATGCGTGCACCTGTGTGCACCTGCGTGTGTCTATGTGTATGTGTGCCTGCGTGCGTGTGTCTGTGTGCATGTGCCTATGTGTGTATGTGTCTATGTGTGTGTGTCCGTGTGCATGTGTCTATGTGCGTGTGTCTAAGTGTCTGTGTGTGTCTGTATGCATGTGCCTGTGTGCACGTGTCTATGTGTGTGTATGTGTGTGTTTCTATGTGTGTCTATGTGTGTGTCTGTGTGCATGTGTCTATGTGTGTGTTTCTATGTGTACGTGTGTCTATGTGTGTGTCTGTGTGCATGTGTCTATGTGTGTTTCTATGTGTATGTATATGTGTGTGTGTCTGTGTGTATGTGTCTGTGTGTGTGTCTGTGTGCATGTGTCTGTGTGTGTCTATGTGTATGTATGTCCTTGTGTGTGTCTGTGTGCATGTGTCTATGTGTGTGTTCCTATGTGTACGTGTGTCTATGTGTGTGTCTGCGTGCATGTGTCTGTGTGCATGTGTCTGCGTGCATGTGGCAAGGTTCCTCACTGGCAGTGTTGCTTCCAAACAGAAGTGGCAACTGCCTGGAACTGACTGAGATGAGGCATCCGGTGGCCGCCAGCACTCCGTGTTAGAAGAGGCCAACACCACACGGCTGCCAAGCGATGCCAGGACCCGATCTGCCAGGCCGTGGGAGGAACCTGCAGTGCCAGCTGCTGGAGGCTGAGGGCCCTGGGCCCGCCCCTCCAGCTCACACAGAAGGAAGAGGGTCATTGCCAGGGGTCTTCAAGGAGCAGGAAAAGTTATTTAAGGAGAGACTGAAAGAGATGAATACTTTAAAAAGGCTTTAAAAAGCAAGAGTAATTTGAAATTATTTAAAAAGAAAGAAAAAGGGGTTGACTGTTCTACGTGTTCTGTTTTTATAAATCAGATGAAAAACAAACATTGTCGTTTCTCATTTACCTTTGTATTGCTGTCCCTGGCACATTATAAGGACTTCATAACTGGACACTTACTGCAGGAAGAGAGAGGAGCGGATCGGAAGACGTGAGAGCAGAAGTCACTGAGGAGCAGGACGAGGAGAGGAGCCTGCCAGCTCACACCCACGGAGAGCAGCGCACGACCAGCCCGGCGGCTGCACAGGGGACGCGCACGTCCACGACAGGAGCAAAGTCAAACCAGCAGCTCTGGGGCAGACTCAGCAGCCCGAGCACTGCAGAAACGGACCTGCAGGGAGAGGTGTGGCCAGGGCAGAAGGGCACTTTCAGAATATAAGAGATGGACTCATTTTTTTTTTTTAAAGATTTTATTTTTTTCCTTTTTCTCCCCAAAGCCCCCCCAGTACATAGTTGTATATTCTTCGTTGTGGGTCCTTCTAGTTGTGGCATGTGGGACGCTGCCTCAGCATGGTTTGATGAGCAGTGCCATGTCCGCGCCCAGGATTTGAACCAACGAAACACTGGACCGCCTGTAGTGGAGCGCACGAACTTAACCACTAGGCCACGGGGCCAGCCCCGTGGGGATGGACTAATTTTTAAAAGTAGAGGCAGCAGCAAGGGCAACCTGTTGGGCTGTGGAGCAAAGGTCAGCAAGTGCGCTTTCTTGAAGCTGGCACTGTGAGGAAACTTCTAGTTTCCAGAGGGTTCCAGAATCCTCAAGCTCCAGAGGAAGGTGTGAAGAAGAGAAGCCTGGAAATTATTCTTTGTTTAGCAGTAAAAACATCTAGTGGGAGAAGTGACCTACGAGTCCCCTAGGACACATCAGCCTATGGATCCAGATGTGTCACTCATAACACTTTGTCCCATGGTCCCCTGCAGTGACACTCTCAATTCAAAGTCTTTCCCATGGATCTCTCATGCCCTTAAGGGAATCTGAGGATGCTGGCCACTGAGGAGACACAGGTATTAACATGTGTGAGTCATCTGTATACTCAGCCTGCAGCTGATACCACACACAGATAGTCCTGTCCAATCGGGGACACACCCACCGGAATCCCAGCGTCATATCTCTCAACCTGGGAATGAGGCATCAGCATCTACCTGTGACAACTTAGGGCTGAGAGTAGGGAGAAAATGAGGGAATTCAGGTAATAACTGCGCAGAACCCATGCCGAGGAGCTGACCGGAAGTATTTTAAATCATTTCCAGGATTTCTAAGATGATAGAGTTTCCAAGAGGTATCAGGTGATGAATGGAGAATGCAAGCAATGGTTATCGCTAAGAAATGACGAGCCATGGGACTCAGGAGCAAAGCCCCAGGGCCCCAGTCCCAGGAGGGAGCCAGTCGGCTAGCGGATCCGTTCCTGCGCGCCTTCTCTGCTCCACGCAGAACACCGAGGAGAGCCAGTCCCCAGGAGAAGCGACACACACAAGGGCTAGAGAAGGAGTGTTGTGGCCTTGCTGTCACTGCCACAGGGACCAAGCAGAAGCAGTGACATAGGCCGGAGCCTGCAAGCAGGGGAGAGGAGAGCAGAGGCTGAGTAAAGAAGGTGGGCGTGAGCACGACGGGAGGGGAGCAAGGCACCCACAGCCTATTATTAAAGTATTCTGAGAAGTCACAGGGAATGGGGAGGAAGGTGGCGGGTGGAACGAGGAAACAATACCAGAAGGTACGAAAAAGAAAACAGTGATCCAGAAATAAGGAGAACATCACTCAGGCACTTTTATTCCCTGATGGAGAACAAGCATCCTGGATTTGTGGGTGGGACCATTTATGGCTGTTTTAGCCAAAGCTCCACTTTCCATAAAATTTTTCTCCTCTGGAGAACGTCCATGAGTAAACCTATCTATAAAAGGAAAAATAAAGCAAAAATAACAGGCTTGGTTTAAATTAGGAACGTTGCACTGAAATAACTGCCTGGAGGTTGCCAATTCAGCAGAGCGCTGGAACTACTGATGTGCTGTTCAAATACCAGTATGTAGTTTGATCAGTAAAAACTGGCCAACTCTAGGAACCTCTGAACTTCAAAGGTCTTTCACACTGATTTTCATTGATGCCGGGAAAATTCTTACAAGTTAAGCTGTGTTAATCTCTCAACTCTCACTTGAAAAATGAGGTAGCTAAGGTTTCATGCCACCGAGTGAAATGCCAAATTCATGCCATGGCTGCTCTTAACCTCAGGACCAGCTCCCAGCCCCACAGGCTCTCCTCCCCCTGTAGAGGCCACACTGGTTTTCAACAGCATTGCCTGAACCAACACGATGCCCAGAGATTTCAAAGTTTATTCTTCTGAAAGTAAAGGATACTACACGCTACTTCCTCTCTTCCTCAAAGTCAGAGCCAAAGCTCACATGAAACCAAGAGGAAATGCATGTTCCTCAATAGCAACGGTTCCAGGTATCAGGTGGCAGCAGCAGCTGCTGAACAGCCAGTGCCACCCCCACCATCCTCCCAAACTCTGGCACCGACACAAGTCTCAGAATCTTGAGGCCACTCCGACGTGAGTCTTTCGGCAGCAGAATGACAAAAGGACGCAACACTTCCACTCTCCAGGACGTTAAAATCATAGCTGTAAAAGAACAAGGTGGTTACTCTTCACATGAGTTACTACCCTGACCCCCTCCTCTCCGGAAAGAGGGGGCAGGAAAAGGAAATGAAAGCAAGTGACTCAAGGTTCTGGATTTCATATGCAAGAATAGCCAGCAACAGGTGCAGCGTTCGGCGAAATTAAGACTCTCGAGACGCCTCTCGCCTCCGCACACAGAGCCCGAGCACGGAAACCCAACATTAGCAATGATGTCAGAAGTGCAAATCATCATCCTTTTCTAGCCAGTAGCAATTTTGTAAAACAAAAAAATTACTAAAAGACCACAAACTATTTCTCTGCTGACACACGACTTCTTTCACATAGTCCTCTCCTAAAACAGTTTACTCTAAAATAATTTCAGTGTTGGTTATAATAAAACATTTTTTAATGCCTGGTGACTAGCATCGTGCCTGGTACATAGTGGATGGGCTACAAATAGTTACTGGAGGAATGAATGAAACAAACAAGCAGGTAAACAAAAAGTTGTCATCACAAGTAAAGATAACCAGACTCTTACCTTCAGAGTAGTAGACAGTGTTATTTTTTCCCATTTCTCCAAGAAGAGAACAAAAAGTTGGAATCAGAAGCCGGGAGCAAGAAATATCGCTACCGAATATATTAGGAGATGCCAACCATCCATCCCCAGACTGAAGCCCTGTCTGCCACCCTTGGGGATTAACAGATCTATGCAGGGAATTGTCATTCAGAGAAGACCAAATGGGAAAAAGTCAGAATCATTTGAGAAATCCACATTTAGACGTTCCTTTCTTTCAGTATGCCATTTCACATAACATTTTCCACCCGCCATTACTATAGAATTTACAAAAGAAACTTTGCTGTATAATCTTTTCAATGATAAGAATAATCTGCTAATAATATGTTATGGACAATGTCTTATGCTACATGTGACATGGATAAGAAAAATATGACCATGGATAAGATGGAGTAGAAATGAAGCCATTTTATTAGCTCTAAAAACTAACAGAAGGAGTGGAGGAAAACAGCAATGAAGCTGAGCCCACAGACGGAGAATGGCTGTTAGATGACTCCTGTATTAAATAAAAGAAGAATAACAGTGTGAGAACATCACTGTTGTAAGATAAAGGGCTTAAATAATGACAACAGTTAGAAAACTAAGGTTTCAGAGCAAAGATAATATATCATCAAAATTGTCAGGAGGTGTCAGAGAATGAAGCAGTACAAAGAAAATTTTAGTGTAATAAATAATTTTATAAAACTACTATTAAAAATGGCTCAAATTAATGACTCTTCAATTTTCTTTAAATTCATGAATTTCTTTTATTTACAACAAGTATTCTGAACAGAATTTCTCTCATCCCCATATATTCAATTTAAAGAATCCTTAGGTTTTTCAAGTCATTTCTTGCAGGATCCAAAATAAGTCCCATTTTTTTTTTTACCTCATGGTAACACCCAAAGGGCTGGAATCAAATTCCTGAGATCCTACGTGCCTAGTTAATAATGACCTCAAACTTCAAGGAGTAAACTGAATAGCAAGTCCATTAAGAATGTTTTGGGGGCCAGGCCCGGTGGTCTTGTGGTTAAGTTCAGCCCACTCTGCTACTCCACTAGTGTGCTGTGCTGGCAGCCCACATACTAAAAAATAGAGGAAGACTGGCACGGATGTTAGCTCAGGGCAAATCTTCCTCAGCAAAAAAAAAAAAAAGAATGTTTTTGTTTTTCAAGTGACAACTCTTCATTCATTCATCCATTCACAAGGATCTACCATCCCCACAGGCCAGGCACTATGCCACCACAGCAGTGAACAAGAAAATCTTAGTCCTTGCCCTTACAGAGATCACAGTTGGGGACCCACCCACAACAAAGTTAACAAAGCCACTGGCATTGTGTCAGCTATGCTGAAGCAACAGGACAGGTGGCGGGAGACAAGAGGACGACACCTACTTCCACTAGGCAGTCAGGACAGGCACCTTGGAAGACGTGCAATTTAATCCCACACCCGATTGCAGAAGGAGCAGAGAGGCTGGCCAGGGATTGGGGGCAGGTATTCCAGGCAGAGCAAACAGCCGGTAAAGAAGCCGTTCCCAGGGCTGCAAGTCACCCAGGGGAGGGGCGATGGAACGGGAATCTCCCACGTGATTCACCCCGCACGCCTTTGCCTTTACACACACTTTCCCCTCAGCCTGGAATCTCTCCCTTCCACCCTCTCTGCTGCAGCCTCACAAGTCCCTCCTCTGGAAAACACCGTCAATGAGGAGCCAAACTCCAGGAGTTAATCGTTCCTAACCTGTGGGCCCACAGCACATGGTATGTGCTGCTACAAATCATCCCTCCAACCACAGCACGCTGAATCCGTGTTTCAACCCCGTAAGCAGGAATCTCGCCTTATTTGTCTCTGTTTCCCAAAGTCTATCATGGAACTTGACACCAACAGATATGAAATAAATGACAAGGGAGTGAGCGGACAAAGCAAGGGAGGCATGCACACATGAAATGCAGGCAGGAGCACCGCCAACGCGAACTCCTCACTCCGGACTAGAGGATGGGGAGCCGCACCATGGTTACAGCTCACTAAGCCACTCACAGTTTGGGGGACAAAAAGATTCCTATCTCTATATGATTTTCATACAACCAACGCTTTGGGGCAAATCTTGCATCACACAGAAGTGACAGAATAATTTCCGGGAGTATCATTAGACATCCGCACAGATCCAGTCCCACTCGACAGGCACGCCCTCAGCGCCAGCCCTGTCCTGGGCTCAGGGCTGACAGCCGCCCCGTCCCAGATCAACACCACTAGTCAGCAGAGCAAATCATATTTCCAAAGTGTTGTTAATGACTGACACTGTAAGATTCTTTACATGTAACTCACTTCTTTCGCAATATTATTAAGAGAAAATGTCTTTTAAAAGATTCCAAGGTCACCCAGAGACAAAACCATTTAGGATCTGTTGCTCAGTAATTTGCACCCTGCTTCTTGGCTCGCTGAGCCATGCCTCGGTTTCCTTTCTACAACCAATGGACGAAAGTTTAAGTAACCACCGCCTTCCAGGCGAGTCTTCTTTACCTGCCTGCGCGTCTCCGCCGTCTCCACGTGTGGAACCCGATGCCACTTCCATTTCTCCTGGCTCAGCGCGTCCTCCGAGGGGAGCTAAGATTCACAAAGCAACCGTGCATGCTGCCTGAAGTCCCAGAGATACGTGCACCCCTCGGCTGGAGAGTGTGCTCTGATGAAGTCAAATTGAAAAACAGGGCCAAACAGCATGGGACGTGGAGAGAGGAGTCGCTCCCCAACCGCCCCGACCAGAATGGTGACATTCCTGCCTGTGTGCGCAGCCCAGGCCTGGTCTGCGCCATCTGAGCCGCTGCCAGGCGGCCGGGAGCCTGTCGCCTTACCATCCACACCACGGGTGACCACTTGCCTGTGTAGGAACAGCACGGCGAGGCATGCGTTCCTACAAACCCGGCTCAAACCGCTCAGAGTACAGACGCGCCAAACGAACAGAACTCAGTTCCTCCATTCTCCTCAGGTTTTCCTTCAACGTGTGCCGAACGAAAAAATGTTTAGGAATTAACCAAAAAATGTTCTCACGAGAGACCCTGTTCTTATAAATGTTACAATTTATCAACCTACATACCAATTTTTTAACCTATATAGCCACACTTATCCCGAAAGCTTTTAGGGATCTAGCTATTAATATGCTAAATAAACAGGTCATCAAGCTGAAAGGTTAACTACCCCGCTTTGGCAGGATTAAAAAATACTATTGAGTGAAATGCAAACTGCATCTTTCCGCCAGTCTCAACGCACAGCCCCTGGCTTGCTTGCCTCCCAATCGCTGTGTCATTCAGGTTTCCCACCGGCCAAGCTTGGCCCTCAGCCAACACCACAGTGCTGCACATATGGCTTCCTCAGGGAGGCCTGCCCTCACCACCAGCGCCCCTCCCAGGCCCGGGGAAGCCCCCTCGAGATCCACTATGACAGCCCTGTGGGACATTTATCCCCCAGGCAATTAAACAGCTACCTGTATATTCTGCAGTTCGATATCTGTTTCTCTTATTAGTTTACCCATTCCAGAGGCCGGACGCCATAACTGTTGTGTTCATCAATGTTGCTGACCATGCCCAGTACCGTGCCTGGCATATGGGGCAGCCAACAAAGAGTTAATTTCATTTCAAACTGTCATCTCCGTAAAAATACTCTCTGTGACACACTGCTGTCACTGCCAAAGCTCTGAGGAAATAAACTTTCATCCTAAACCATTATCTTCATGGGGGTTATTAGAATGCAAGCGGTGCATGAACTTGGACAGGAAAACAAATAGATATTTTCACTAATTTCCAACAGAAATTTGCATCTCCTTCCATTATGAAGGCGGATCACCAAACACACCGTTGGTAGTCCCTTTGGCTGTGTCTCCAACAAAAGTCACAGCCACTTTCACATCGCAGAGCAGCTGAGAAATCACCTGGCTCAGCATCACCTCAGAATAGCAGAGCAGTTACTGCACCCACTGCTGGATCTTGTCCCTGAATGCATTAATAAAAAACAAATATTACTCTAGCACAGGCTTTTTAAGTATTTTGTAACTGGATTTCCATGTAATTGGTTTTCCTTTGTAATGCCATGTATTTTATTTTATGCACTTAAAAAAATTTGTCTGGGTTCACCAAACTGCCAAAGGGGTCCACAGGTAAAAAAAAAGAGAGGGATTGATGAGGATAAAGAATGAAAACCCTAATCCACCTCTTTAACATGAGATATAAACATCTGATGTACCAAGAAACACTTATGGCAGGATTTCCTTCTTTTTCACAGTTGAATAATATTCCATCGTGTGTGTGTGTGTGTGCGTGTGTGTATCATATCTTCTTTATCTATTCATCTGTTGATGGGCACTTAGGCTGTTTCCATGTATTGGCTATTGTAAATAATGCTGCAATGAACATGGGGGTGCAGACATCTTTTCCAGATAGTGATTTCGTTTTCTTCAGATAAATACCCCAAAGTGGAACTGCTGGATCACATGGTAGTTCTATTTTTAATTTTTTCAGGAACCTCCATACTGTTTTTCACAGTGGCTGCACCAATCTACATTCCCACCAACAGTGCACAAGGGTTCCCTTTTCTCCACATCCTCACCAATACTTACTATTTCTTGTCTTTTTTGGTAACAGCCATTCTAACAGGTGTGAAGTTGTATCTCCACTGTGGTTTTGATTTGCATTTCCCTGATGATTAGCGATGTTGAGTGACTTTTCAACATATTCTTGATAATGATTAAACTTCTCCCACTTTTTTCCAGAAAGACTCATCTTTAAGCCACTGATCCCCTGGGGTTTGCAAAGTGAGGATACTATGCAGGGAATGTTACAAAACATATTACACTCCTATTTCTACCAGGTGTTTCCATAGTTACAACCTGCCAAGTGGAGATTCACCCCATCTTATTTCTGTAACAGCGCTGTGAATATATGCACATGCGCACCAGGAGGAGTAACAGAGTAATCACCAACACCTCACTGTGAGCAGCTTTAATCAGCCAACCGTTAATATGCACAAAACTCCAATAAAAAGGAGCTCTGACTCCAATTAAAAAGGAGAGGGGGAGGCCAGGCCTGGATGGAATTAGGCGACCAGTGAATGACTTCTAGGGGCCGGGTCAACGGAGAAAAATTCAGAGAAGAAACAAAATGAAATTTTGCAGAACCTCGATAGCAGCCAGTGGGCCCCAGTTGCCTTATCAGGGGTTGCTCCGGAAAACGAAATACCACAGCTTTTCTCTCATACAAATTAAGACAGGTTCTGGCCAGTTCAGTTCAGTTCAGCCCTAGTTACATTCAGGAACTTTCTCACTCTCTCCCACCAAAAGGAAAATAACAGAAAAGAAATGATCCTCACACCCTGCTCTGTTCTTCCTCCTGCCATTTCCCCTCTCCCTGACCCCTTCCCTGTTTATGGTAAAACTTAAGCCTCCAAGGCCAGGTTCTGCCTGTTTGGATCCACAGGCACATGTCACGTCTCTTTCAGAAAGTTAACAAGCTTCACGTGGTAAATATAAAAACTAGAATCCTTCAAGAAGTTCACACACCCCACACTCTCACCAGAATATTTCCTGGAACTCTGTAAAAGCATCTCTTTTCAGGCACAAATCCACCAGACCACCATCAGCAACCAAACAGATTTGAAGGAAAGTGAGCAAGAAGTTTCCTTGAGGTCCATGTAGCCCAGGCAGCAGAAAGAATACTGAGTTTGCGACCACTGTTTAATCTTGGGAAAGTCACTTCCTCCCTTCCTCAATCTTCAGGCAAAGGAAGTAAACTAGATGGTCCCTTGAAACATCCTCCAGCTCTAAAATTCTGTGAAGGTCCATGTCACCACAACAGCCATCCATCCACGGTCAAAAGTGAGAGGGAAGGACAGAAGGAGGCCCCTTACCTCTAAAAATGGTTTATAAATCAGGAAACGCTGGAAACAGACCATTCCAGCTTGAAAATCTGCTAGCTTTTAGTGTTCATTCAGAATTCTCAGTTCCTTAATTTGCATTCCATTACTAGTGAACTCAATACACCACGATGCGTGAAATGCCTAACAGAAAATATTCCCATAATCACCAGCAATATGGAAACAGTGTGGCTGTAATATGAGGAGAAACGTTTCAAAATAGTTCAGATATTTACAATTCACTTGCATGATAAATGATTTCTAAAGCCACGAAGCTTGGCAGGCCTGGCAGAAGGAAGAGAAACCCTTGGGCTAACTGTGCCTAACTGCATCAAAAAATGCATGCTGAGAAAAGACAGCTACTAAAAAATTTAGGGGACCATATTATTCACAGAGGTTTATGTGAGTTCCAAAAAAATGATATTGTGCAGCATTTTCTGTACTTATCAATAAAATTTTTCAACAAAATGATTTCCAAAGGAAATCGCCCATTACCTGTTTCTCAACTTTTATCAAAGTAACAAATGCACACAATTTTTAAAATTAAATAGGACTATAACAAAACCCTGCAGTCCCGCCTCAGTCTTGCTTTCAAGGGCTACCCTCTCCGTTCCTTCTCTTTGTTGTCACGGTGATCTATGCATTTCTGAATACTAGGCTGTTTCCTGATCGTAAGTCAAATAGTATTTACAGAATTTCGTTACAGTAATTAAGGATTTACCTCTCTTACATCCACTCTTCCAGTTTCTATCCAGTTTTTTGTTTCTGATAACATACTTTTAATTTCTAAGATCTCTTTCTTATTCTCTGAATCTGTTTTTTTTTAATAGCATCTGTCTTCATTTCAAAGCTACAATTATTTCCCCACCTCTCTGAGGATATTTATTATATTAGACACTATTTTTCTCTGTTTTCCCTAAGCTCCTTTTTCCTGCTGTTTGTTTGGGTACAGCATCACCGATGGAGGCTTTCCTCAAATATCGGACTCCTGGCAGCCCCTCCATTTCAAAATGAGGCAGTCAAAGGGTCAAGTTCTATGAGCTTGATGTCAGCAGCCCAGTGGTGGGCTCAAAGTAGGTAATTAAATTCCATCCTGGAACTATAATATACTCCCAGTAAAAGCATCCTCTGATTTGGGGCTGGTACAGCTTCAGGAATTCTGAGGTTTCACCATCCTGGTGTCTCTCCATCTTCCTGATGTCAAACCAGAGCCTCGCCATCCTCGCTGAGCCAGGGATGGGAAGGCAGAGCTCAGCACGTCCAGAGAATAGACAAAGCTCCGTTCTCCCATGCAGTGGGGAAGATGGACGATCTGGGAGTCGAAGTGCGCTGTTTATAGATCTCAAGCAAACTCAAGTTTTTAGCCCCAAACTTCTCCCACTTTCCCCTGACCCAACTTCAGACAGTACTGGTGACTCTAAGGCAGGAGATTTGCAAAGTCTGGGAGGTGCACCCGGCAGCCTCCGGCTACCACCCCCGCCCAGGTCCCTCTGTGGTTACCACTCCGCCAGCACCTTCCAGCACGTGACGCCTTACGCAGCCACGGCCACCTGTCTCCACTTGCCTTTGGGCATGGAAGTTTATGCCTTTTTTGTTCTTTTGCTGCAATTATAGTG